CTAAGTGACAATGTCCAAATTGGGCCCAAGTAGCCGTTTTCCCTCCCTGGTGTCATGAGACCGGTTAGTGTCACAAGTTTCAGTTGTGAAGGGGGACCAAGTTTTATAACTCTCACTCTCTCAGACTGGCCAGTGGAAGTTCCATATGGCACCTCATGGTAATGAACTATCTGAGGATCTGAAAAAATGAATTGTTGCTCTACATAAAGATTGCCTAGGCTATAAGAAGATTGCCGAAACCCTGATACTGAGCTGCATCATGGTGGCCAAGACCATACAGCGGTTTAACAGGACAAGTTTTACTCAGAACAAGCCTTGCCATGGTTGACCAAAGAAATTGAGTGCCCGTGTTCAGCATCATATCCAGAGGTTGGCTTTGGGAAATAGACGTATGAGTGCTCCCAGCATTTCTGCAGAGGTAGAAGGGGTGGGGGGTCAGCCTGTCAGTGCTCAGACCATAGGCTGCACACTGCATAAAATTGGTTTCCAGGGCTGTTATCCCAGAAGGAAGCCTCTTCTAAAGATAATGCACAAGAAAGCCTGCATATGGTTTGCTGCAGACAAGCAGACTAAGGACATGGATTTTTGGAACCACGTCCCGTGGTCTGATGAGACCAAGATAAACTTATTTGGTTCGGATAGTGTCAAGTGTGTGTGGGGGCAACCAGGTGAGGAGTACAAAGACAAGTGTGTCATGCCTACAGTCAAGCGTGGTGGTGGGAGTGTCATGGTCTGGGGCTGCATGAGTGCTGCCGGCACCGGGGAGCTACAGTTCATTAAGGGAATCATGAATGCCAACGTGCCCTGTGACATAGTGAAGCAGAGCATGATCCCCTCTCTTTGGAGACTGGGCAGCAGGGCAGTATTCCAACATGATAACAACCCCAAACACACCTCCAAAACGACCACTGTCTTGCTAAGGAAGCTGAAGGTAAAGATGATGGACTGGCCAAGCATGTCTCCAGACCTAAACCTTATTGAGCATCTGTGGGGCATCCTGAAATGGAAGGTGGAAGTGCGCAAGTTCTCTCACATCCACCAGCTCTGTGATGTCATCATGGAGGAGTGGAAAAAGACTCCAGTGGCAACCTGTGAAGCTCTGGTGAACTCTATGCCCAAGAGGGTTAAGGCAGTGCTGGAAAATAATGGTGGCCTCACAAAATATTGACACTTTGTGCCCAATTTGGACATTGTCACTTAAGGGTGTACTCACTTTTGTTGCTGATGGTTTAGACATTAATGGCTACGTGCTGCACTATTTTGAGGGGAGAGCACATTTACATTGTTATTCAAGCTGTATACTCACTGTTTTACATTGTAGCCAAGTGTCATTTCTTCAGTGTTGTCAAATGAAAAGATATACTAAAATATTTATGAAATGTGAGGGGTTGTACTTCTGTGATATACTGTAGCTGTAGTAGTCTGTTTCAGCGTGGAGAATAATATTTTTTGAAAAGTAAACAAAGTCCATTACGACTGATTTATTTATCTTGAGCTTTCATGGGTTGCATTCCACATCTTCAGGTACACCTGAACTAGTGGATTATAATCCACAAAAGCTCATGCACATCTGTTCTTTTAATAATGTGGTTTTATGCATACTTACTCTGAGTGCAATGGCGATTATTTCCTTGTGATATGGGTGAAAATATTTTTCATCCATGGGGACAAATGCATTATTGTCTAGCAAATTTTAAGTACTTTGCATGTCAGCATTTGCTGGTTCCTTCAGTTTCCAAGGGTCTTGCAGTAAAATAGCCAACAAACATGTGGTATCTTTAAAAGCTAACCATATATAAACACGTATGTCAGCAGACAGCAATTCCTATTTTATTCTCAAGTGAGTAGAAAAGCAATTGACAGCAAAAGGAAATGTGAATTTCATGGTTGTCCATCTGTGCCAACTGCATCTCCCCAAATGGGGCCCCTGTTAATCATTCCATGGCCAGCTAGCCTATGTTGGTGTTGCTTCTTGACTGTCAATTTAGTTTGGGAGGTGAGGGGATATCTCTTCCAGGGGACCAACAGTTGTTGCACCCATGGCTTCACATTCAATAGTCTGAAAGGGAGACGTAAACCATTTTGAGATAAGTATCAGAACTCAACTCATGTTTGCATTTTCACTTGAAGTTCCCAGGAAAGGCGATTTTTCCAGTGAGTGGAGAGGGATGGGTGTAGCCGTCAGTACATATTCAAAGGAATGCAAAAAATATAATTAAAAAAATGAATGGGTGTTTAAAAATATTTGATAGAATGACATGTCTGAACAAAGGCAGAAGGCGCACCTATACTCCCGTATGTTTATGCCTAAAACAAGATACGCCTGGTTACTGGTGAGTTGAATACACTTCAAAGCTTAGCACGGGGAAAGAAACAAAACATCTGTGGGCTAGACTGGCTAATAATTTCCTTCTGAACAAAGGCAGCCTCATATATTCTGTTCTTGAAGGATCGGTATTTCTTTCTTTTGTATCTTACTCAGTTTCACTGCTGCATCATCCTGTTATTTGTGAATATGGTCACAGGTGAAGGCAAAGTTGGTACAGAGGAGATTGGGAGAATACAATATATAGCCTCCAGCCCTGTTCTTGTCTTGTAAGAATTATTTTGTGAAAATTTCAATAGGATGTAAGTACAACAAGATCAATCTGGATTCAACCTTAGGACCAGTAGTCCTAAGGTGGTGCTAACTTTCAGGTTGAACTAGGTTGCAGCGATAAGGTAACTAGTTTAGTCCTTCCCACCAAGACATTTTAAAGGTTAATTCTCCTGAATTTTCCCCTGAAGCTGTTATTTGCCTTCTAGAGCAGTGGTCCCCAACCTTGGGCCTCCAGATGTTCTTGGACTACAACTCCCAGAAGCCTTCACCACCACCTCTGCTGGCTAGGATTTCTGGGAGTTGAAGTCCAAGAACATCTGGAGGTCCAAGGTTGGGGACTACTGTTCTAGAGCTCAAAATTGCATGGATCTGTGGATTTATTTATTGCATTTATATTTTAAAAAATGTAACCCCATCTTCATGGTCTCCTATGTTTGCAGATTTTCTCCAGTTGTGACAAAGAAAACAAATGTTACTTGCCTTGGGACCTGAGTCAAAGAAGACTGGTTCTGCTTTGTTCTAAACATGTTGCTTTCCAAATTACTGAATCAAAGTCTGAACTGAGTGTTGGGAGTCCATGCAAATCCTTAAAATATCATTTTTAAAAAAATATGAGCACCTCATTATTTCCCACTCAGGCATAATGTAGAGAAGCAGCACATTACAAAAATCCAACCAATGCATTAAATCCCAGATCTAAAGAGTTGGTCTGGACTTAGTCTTGTTCCAAGTAGACTCCCTGATAGCAATGGGACTTGTTATGACCAGCTCATGCCCCACTGATTTTAGTTGGCCTCAGTTGAGCTATGGCTCTCTGTTTCCCACAATGGTTTCTAGCGATTTCAGAATATACTTTTAAAATTCAAATAATGACCTTTGTATCACGGATCTATCTGTAACAAATTTCCTTTGTGTGCTTGCAACTTTGTACGTTAAAGGGAAAGGAAGCATTCATTTTACTGTATTTTCGAAGGCTTTCACGGCTGGGATCCGATGGTTGTTGTGGGTATTTCGGGCAGTTTGGCCATGTTCTTAAGGTTTTTCATCCTAATGTTTTGCCAGTCTCTGTGGCTGGCATCCTCAGAGGACAGAGGTCAGAACTCTGTGCTCTCTTGCAGTTTGTTGGATAGTTGAATATTTATAGCTGTAGGACCAGCTTTTGTCCTTTTCAGGAGATCTGGTGATTATGGTGATTGGCGTGTTTTTTGTTGTGGGTGTATTGTAGTGATAAGGGAGAGAGATGATCCATCACTGTGATTGGTGGGTGTCGTTAGCTGGTCTTTTGTGTGCAGGGATCACTGGTCCTTGTGACTAGGTAGAGTTGAGCTTTTGCAGGCTGTATTTTCAGTGCTGGGAGCCTTTGTTGAGTTTTAAACTTCCTTCTTTTTTGTTGAAGCTCTGCTGGTGTTTGTGGATTTCAATGGCTTCCCTGTGCAGTCTAACATAATGATTGCTGGTATTGTCCAGTACTTCAGTATTTTGAAATAAAATTTCATGCCCAGCTTGTTTTAAGGCATGTTCAGCTACTTCCGATTTTCCAGTTGTTTTAGTCTGCAGTGTTTCTCATGTTCTTTGATTCTGGTGTGAATGCTGCATTTTGTGGTTCCAATATATACTTGGCCACAGCTGCAAGGTATCCAGTATACACCCGCAGTGGTGAGTGGGTCCCTTTTGTCCTTTGCTGACTGCAACATTTGTTGTATTTTTGTGGTGGGCCTGAATACTGTTTGTAGATTGTGATTTTTCAAAAGTTTTCCCATGCGGTTCATGACCCCTTTGATGTATGGCAGAAATACTTTATTTGTGGGTAGCTGTTTTTCCTCTTCAGTTTGGTGTTGTTTTCTTGGTTTGATGGCTCTTGTGATTTCATTCTTGGAATAGCCATTTGCCTGTGGGCCCAATTCAGACGGTTGAGTTTGGTATTGAGAAATTGAGCTTCACAGTTCTGAGTTGCACGGTCTTTTTTGTCATGGGTGGTGGTTGGAGTTTTTGTGTAGGTACTGGTCTGTGTAGGTGGGTTTTCTGTAGACTCATGGCAATAATTTTCATGGTTTTCCACAGTTCTGATTTGCATTGTCTTTTTTGTCATGGGTGGTGGCTGGAGTTTTGTGTAGGTACTGGTCTGTGTAGGTGGGTTTTCTGTAGACTCATGGCAATCATTTTCAGGGTTTTCCAGGTAAGGAGTGTTCAGAAGTGGTTTACAATTCCCTTCTTTTGGGGGAACTCTGGGACTATACCGCTTGCCCAAGGCCATACAGTGGGGAATTGAACTCTTAACCTCTAGCTAAATATTAGACTCTTCCAAAAATGCTTCCGATAGAGACTAATGCATTTTCTTCCCATAATATATGAATAGGTAAACAATAAAATATTTTTAAATAAATGAAGTTAACACCAAATGCATAATTTAAAATAATTTATTTTGACACATCTTAAAAATAATTATATTATAAATAATTCCACAATCCAAAAAGAGTCGATTCTGTGTCTCAGTTTGCTTTCTTCTTCCTCCACCCCCTTCAAAATCTTTTCTCTTTGTGTAATTTCCTTTAGATTACAAGCCTGTAGACAAAAACTACTGCATTAAAATAAATAAATTTCCATTGAACTTAGTGAGATAGAGATGTGACCCAAGTTCTTTGTATTGTGATCACAAGAAACATAATTGCTACTCCGTGCATCTGCAGCAGTAATCATGCTGCCCAGCCAAGACCAGCAGGCTGAGAATTTTTTTTTTTTAATTGAAACATTTATAAAAATGACTCTGATCTGCATGATGTACATATACTGTATATAAGACATGTTCCACAGGCTGTGACCTTCCAGTGTAGTAATGCTAATTAGGGCCCAACATTTACACAACACTCAGAAAAAAATGTACAAAAAACTTTTTAAAAAAGGAAAGGGGAGAGGGCCTGCCTGTCCATAGATTCATAATTTAATTACAAAACAGAGAAAAGGAGTTGACACTGACTAGGAGGATAGGATTTGGGGACAGGAGGTAGACCTAGAAGTACACAAAGTTATAACATTGTCCCAATGCCTGAAAAGATGGGGAATGAGAGAAAGACATGATGAAGGCTGCAAGCTAGGTGATAAGAGAATCAATGTGATTAGAACAGTGTTCAACAAACCATTATTACCTTTCAAATCTTTCGTAAGAGAATTAGATGTTCTCCTGTGCAGGGTCCATTGTACAGGCACACAAATAGTAAACCCCACAAGGCATTTTCAAAATCCTGGGTATGTTGGTCTTTAACTAAATTTCTTTAGTACTACTGATTCTTCACATTCCAATTAGCAAGATTTATTTAATTATTTGGCTTACAAGGAATCTTGTTACCAAAGTATAAACTGATTGTTTTTCAGCTGAGAGTGAGCAGGATACTGGTTTCGGTACCATTAGTCTTTTCTGGAGCAATTATGAAAAATTCAACTCATAGTGCTGGAAGCAGTTTGCATATTTCAAGTTGTTATTCAACTAGAGAAACTATGTTCTACTATCAGCTTTCCTCAAGCACAAGCCTTCCAGATACATTAAATCACAATTCTCATAATCTCTGACAGCATGGCCAATGGCCAACACATCTGGAGAGCATCCAGTTGAGGAAAGCTTATCTAGTTGAACACTTGTGATAAAAATAACAGAAATGTAGTAGTGTTCTAGTCCCCGAGACTGAAATGACTTTAATGTATAAAGTGCACTTTTAAAGAAGATCTTAAATGTCAAGTTCTACTGAAATTCAGCAATGATTGTGAAGTATAGATTGTATATAGAACTCATGAGTCTTATTTATGGAAAATATAGATGCTGTCACTATGCATATTACAAAAATTTCTTTCAAAATTATGCTAAACCATTTAGCTCTTCTTGTGACAGTTTTTAACAGACATCCATGTAATTTGAAAGTGAAATGCTTTCAAATTACCTGGTTAATGAATAATGAGTCTAGTGCTGTTCTACATTGTCTTTTTTGAAACCTGAGTATGAGAAAATTTGCTGGGTTCTCATTTCTCTATGGATATATTGATTTTGCAACACCTGAGACTAGCACAACAGGTCTGAAAAATGACACATCAGATACTTCATAATTTGCCTTCTGCTCCCCTTTCTTTTAGTAATATGTAAAAATGGGTAATTGTTATGAGCTCAGATTTCTTGTCAAGGATTTGTTTAATCAGAAAGAGTATTTTCAAGCTTTGAGTTGATGATACTTAATCAGATTCTATATTGTGCCAAGTTTTAATCCCTTCCCTCTAGCAAACCCTATTTTTTGTGTTCAAAGCAGCAAATCTAATGCCTTTTATCCATATTGAAATACACATTTCTGGTACAGAAGACATTATTTAAAAAACATGGGATACTGTCCTGCTAAACTGAGCAGAACTCCCTTTAAACTGGTCACCCAAAGGTGAATGCCAAGGCTGAAAAAAAAAATCCACAGAATTTTCTTTGAAGTATAAATAATAAAAAAATAATAACAATAACACAGAAAATTATATAAATAAATAAATAAATAAAATCCCACTAAAAGTTGTTCCCTATAGTTCAGCAGATCGCTCTTTTAGTAGTACTGCTGGGTTGATCTCATCTATTGATGTGCTAGAAGTGCTGATGTTGCTTGTTGCTGCTGTTTCTTGGTTTACAATATGGAAAGCTGTAAGAGGACAGCCCGCCACATTGTTGCAGATAAGTCTCTGGATGGAGGCTGTGTTAATAATGTCAAAGCCCACTTTGCCCCCAAATGTGCTTGGCTTCCAGTACTCGGGTGAGCAGATTGCATTTCCCATGAGACCCTTCAGAGAAAATGGGGCTCCAAGCTCTATCATGGTTTCACCAAAGATGGCTCCAGGACGTGGTTTTTCTACAAGAAGGGCTGGATACAGCTCCATAGCATCGATATCTCCATAGAGCTCTTCAAGTTCCGCTGCCATTTCTTTTTCTCCTGTAATAAACAGGTAAATAATCATTAGTAGGACCCCTTCAATACCTGGAAAACATTTGGCCCTAAATTCATTTGTTTGCCAATGAAACCACAAACTTGGATATTATTGTCTTTTCCGCACACAGCTATCCCCTTTGACTTTTTATTAGTCATGGCTGTAGCTGGAACTAGCAATTTCAGTACTGAGCACTTAGCAATGATCGTTAAGATTCTTAACTATCATTAAGAATCTTAATGATTCTTAATGAGAGGGGTAGCAACTAAGAGAGTCTTCAAAACAACATCAGAGCCTTTCTTAAAAACTCATAATCTTTCTAAAAAAGATGATGCACAAATATTGCTGAGGTAAATTAATACATATCGCTTTTTGTAAATTATACAGCTTGAAATGTTTATTCCAACCTTTATGAGTTCCAAACTCATCAACCCACTGGAGCACCTAAGTTTTCTTTCCATCTCTTCCAATGGAGAGGTCCCAGTGGAGCACCTAGGTTTTCTTTCCATCTCTTCCAATGGAGAGGTGTGCTTCAGTGTCTCAAACAAGTACTTCCAAACCGTTAAGCTGAGATGCCAAGAATCTGATATTTCAACTTACGAAGCACAATTTCCAACTTTCAGCTCTACAACTCTGCCTACCAAGTTGCTCCTTTATAAAAAGTAGAGAAATAAGTTTTACCTGTAAGTTCTTCAAATGACTTGAAAGGCTTCAGTAGAAAATGCTTCCGGTACTCATTCAGAGATCGATATCTCATCTGTCTGCTTTGATCAATGGAAGCTTTAGCTACTTTCATAACTGCAGCGGGAACATTCCTACCGCCAGCTACCTGTTACAAAGAAATGAAATAACATGATGAACCAAAATGGAGACTGAGTACTGCACTACTGGAGGGAAAGATCTTCAGAATTCACCAGGTATTTTCCTCTGGCAGAGGACAGCCTATGTTCTTGCTACAGAGAGCTAAAAGGACTTCATTAAACTAATTTATTTCTTTTGGAAAGTACTTATAACCTCTCACTGAGGTAATATGCTAAGGTCAAGTTCAGAAATGGGGAATGTTCAATTCTCTCAGTGTCACTGGACTAAAACCCCCATCTCGTGGCCAAGGTGGCAAGGGCTGATGGTAACTGAAACTCAACATTTGGAATGGCACATGTAAATCACCCCACTTTAGTTCTTAAGAGACATATCAGGACTCTACAAAAATGTCACTGATAATGAAGGGCAGGCTAGAACCTCTTTTCTAAACAGCAAATGTTCTATGTAGATTTTTTTCCAATTTCAGTTTCCATTGCATCAGCTTCTGTCTTGAGTCCAAAATGGCAGAGAAGAGAAACAAATTTTAGCACTTCAGTGATAAAAGCTGCTATTCAACATATATTTATTAACAGTGCTCATAAGGTTGAGCAATTGTGCATTTGTTCTATCAAATATCTGCATTGACATTCCTCTGGAATGAAATGACACTGAAGCATCATCATCTAAGGATCAAATTAAACAACAGATTTTAGCAAGTTTTTAGAAGGTATGTTCCCTCACATAGTGAGGGATATATGCTTATCACAGGATGTGACTCCCTTCATGTGCGTATCTTTGCATTTGCAACCTTTATCAATGGAGGGTAAACAAGGGAGAATGGTTAATTAAAGGAAATATACACTCCCCATTTTGTGTGTATGTTTTGCCATCCAATTTAAGACCAAAACATTCAGTCTTTCATTTGCAGATGTATCTTTCACAAAAGATTTATGAATGCAGCTGCTCCAGAAAAAAAAGATACTAACGGCCCATGTCTCAAAGGGTACCCTTACAATTATTCCTCTTGTGTTAAAGCATGTAGAGGAGGCACTTGTGCTCTTTTGGGAAGACATGGCATTTCAAGCAGACTGAAGATAAGATGGAAAGTAGTCCTACCCTTCCAGCCCTTTGCTTGGAGAAAGACTGCACCATATGGGAGAGGCCATGTTCCAGCATGATGGAGTTGTTGTAGAGGAACTGTGGATAAGTGTACTCTTGGTTGTGTATCTGAAAGGTGTCAGGCAGAAGAGGATGCCAGTGGTAGAGGGTGTTGAATTCTGCTGCTATTCTGTTCTGATACTGAAACCGTTGATTGAAGAGAAGCTCTGGATCAAACTTCAGCTTGAAGTGATAACCACTTAAGTGCTGCACATAATCTTCAATCACAATCTTGATGGTCTCACCTGTTTGTTTAAAAAAAAACATATAATAGAGGTTTTTTTTTCTGGACACACTTAGCCCTGTCGTTCCAAATTGGGAGTGTCTGAATGGGCAACCCTGAATGGAACACGTCACTTGAGAAATTCTATGCCACCATTTGATAGTCATAGCAACATTTAGGGATAAATTTGCTAGGCGAGACCAATGATACATCTTATTTAGCATTATGTTTTCACCAACAGCTAGTTAACGCTATTTGGAAGCTCCTTGCCCTTTAGCATCTAGTGTTCATATATATTGCTCCTGTACAGAAAGGTTCTTTTAAAATAACACATTAGATGCGGGAAGGCAAACAACCTCTCAGCTGAGAAGCTTAGGAACCTGGTTTGGATGCAACAGAATATGACTGTTAGAGGCACCACATCCAAAATCAAAGGGGAAATAAAGATGTCTAGCCTCCAGTAGGAGAACAAGAAGAAGACTAGATGTTGATAGGCCTATCATTTAAAAATGTCTAGCCTCCAATAGGAGAACAAGAAGACTAGATGTTGATAGGCCTATCATCCACACATGTCCAGAAATTATTCTTCTGGAGCCATTTAAGATGGTGCTCCCTGCCATGGTTAACTGCCATTAAATGTCATAAGACTGTATGCATTAGCAGTGGTCATCTGTCAAAATTACCTATCAAGATCAATCTGGCTGTTTGGAACAGCTGCTCATCATCCCATTCTGGATGCTCTGTCTTGAGAATATCACAGACCCGGTTGTGTTCTCGAAGCCACAATGTGGCATACATCATCAATCCTGGAACCAAGCCAAAGACCTCTTGCCCTACAGAAAATTTCAGGTGCTCAGGGGTGTGGGGTGGATAGATCATTTCTGCTTGAGTTTCTTTCACTGTGGGTGGATACATCTCTCCATCAATCATCTGTAATTAAAGACAATAAAATGAGAGTTGCAACACATGAATGCTGAGCAGAAGCCTGCTTGGTAATTTCAATGGATTTAAGTACATTTCAATTTACGTCAAACTGTGAGCAAAGTGCATTAACTAGCATGTCATAGTTCTCTTGTACAAGAAGGATGGCGACTGCTCTTACAGGTAACAGTCTGCCTTTATGGGGATTCACTGCATCGCATGGAAGACTATAATGCTAAGATTTATCTAGTCCAGCATTGTGTTCACGCAGAGAAAAACTAGTTTCCTATGGGAAGCTCCCAAAAGCACAACACAAAAGCAGTAACAAGTTTTAGCTTATGTTTTGGGATAAAGAGGCAAATTGCTTCTGATATTGGAGATATGACTTTTAAGCCTATCTCCATCAGGTATACTGTGTTAAAAATAATCTCTTTTTTTCCCCTTCAAAACAAGGGGAACTTCCAGGAACTGCCAAGGAAGCACAAACTAACGATATTGGAGATAGGACTTTTAAGCCTATCTCCATCAGATATACTGTGTTAAAAAATAATCTTTTTTTTCTTCAAAACAAGGGGAACATCCAGGAACTGCCAAGGAAGCACAAACTAACCTGAAATTTTAGTTTTCCATCCTTAAGCAGTCTCAATTTCATTTGTCTGTCCAAAGTCTCTCCATAGATATGATTTAAATCAACCTGTTGAAATTATAAAGAGGAACATGAATGACAACTTAAAATCTGTCTGTACAAAATTGCCACAAAAGCTAATAGATTTGCACTGAGCCCTTGCAGAACAGATAGAACAACTCTCCCTATAAGGTCCCAAAGTCAAATGCAGTGCAGGGGTAGGGAAGCAGAGTGGTAGGGAATTTTCTCCTGACACTTTCAAATAAAAGACCAAAAAAATATGACTTTATACTCTCCACCATCATAAAAAGATAGTGCTACTTCTCAGAAAAAACATAAAACCAAAAACATCTCCCATATGGCAGCTGGAGATCAGAGCTCCTTGGAACATTTACCTATATAAGGTTATGATGACTAAAGAGAAACAGAAAGGGTACTCCTAAAGATGGCTTTGAAAACAAAAACCCTTGTTAATGATCAGTATTGCAAAGGGATAACCTCTTTAACTTTGACTTGTGATATTATTTGAACAAATGTTAACAAAACTATTTTATAACCAAGATTCCTTCTTTCAGGTGAAGCATGTAGATAGGGTGCAAATAATATTTCAGCATTATTTAAATTAAGTAACTAAGAAACTGGACTGTAACATGTGTAAGGACAGATCAAAACATGATAGATATCACTTCTCCAAATGGCTCTAATGCGCCTATTTAAATATTCAGGCAACTCCCTCAAAGAGGAAAGATGTCCTTCTCACCACAGGAGATGATACCTGCTGCCCGTTAGCAAGTAACGAGGTCAAGTCATAGCGCTTCAGTCTTACCCCGTGCCCAAGGCCTTTTGTGAATGCTGGTCCTTTGTGGTGATCTGTCTTGAAGAACTGGTGGGTGAAATGCTGTGCAAAGAATGTGAACATCACGTTTGTGCCTTGAGGGTCTGGAATAAATTTTCTCCTCAGCAGGAATTTCTCTACAATGATGTTGGAATCCGGTAGCTCTTTCTTACCTGAAATTTAAAACTGGTATTTAAATGTTTTGACATCTGTAGCCAGTAGAAAGAAAAAGTCATTTTGAATATCCAATTTTTATTTGAATGAAGTCATTGTAAAAAAAAAAAAAAGCTGCACAGCAACAAATAATTGGGAGGGCAAACTGTGATGGTGCAGGTGCTAGCCAGCAGCATAGTTAATGGTGAAGGATGCTGTGAATTACAGTGCAACATCATTATGGAGACCACACACTGCCCACTCCTTCACTACACAATGCAGAATGCACGTAATGCCCTTGAAGATTAAAGTTAAGTCTTCATAATTACATTTCATGGCATGAAATACAGTTCTTGTCTCCAGGTTTATAATTTGGTAGATGTATGCTTTGCTGCCCCACTACATTCAAGAAGTCTGTCACACTCCCTGTTCCTTTCAAAGACTAAAACTGCAAAACCTTTCACAGAAAATATGTCTGTTGTAATAAAATACTCAGTACCTTAAGTTTCTCCTTCAAAAGGTTTTCTAAAGTTAAGCCTTATCCTGCCATTTAATCCATGGAATTCACAATTGCACAGGAGAGGAAACAAGGCCATGTTGGCTCGGCTTGCCCGCACCCTGCCCGTTGCCACACTGCATATGGGTCTATGCGTGGGACCTGTCATACATGCCAGAGACTTCCATGATTGAGTTGGAGCCCTGGCCATGCTTGAAGCTCCCAGCACTGGTGGTGTATTCCCAACCATACTTGATACCTGAAAATTCCCTCCCTTCCTATCCACGTACACAGATCTATTTTCATCTTTACCTTTCACTCCCATTGGGGTGGGGCAATTGTGTTCCACTGGTGGAAGTGATCTGGTATAGTAGGAAAGGTTTGAGTAGGCTTCCCAGCTCTTGTAGCTGTAATGGCTATTATACGTCGGTGGGCTTTCAATTAAGTGAGATCTTGCTATAAAAAATGGAGGAAGACGATTAGGTTAGTGTTAAATGAGTGATGATGGAGCAGCTATATTAAATAAAAACAAATAAAAGCCAATATTTTCCTTCAATATGCATCAATAGGGCTGTCTGAGGGATTGCATACATGTTACACATTTGCTGTCAAAAGTCACCAGGGGCTTGTGATTCAAGCTGGAGGGAAGGAAGGTCCTTCTTCAAACTAAGGTGCCTCCTTGATTGGACCGTAGGCTGTTCCCAAGTGGAGTCTTGTATTATATCTGGACTTAGCTGGCCCACTCCACTTTTTTGTCAACCCCCTCACCCCACCCCACGATACCATCCATCACATTTTTCAATCTCATCTTAATTTTATTCTTTAATTCACATGCACAAAGCAACCAGTTAAGGTCCTTCTGTCTTTCTACTACTAGCAGTCCAGACTCTTGCTGTTTACTAAACACACCAAGAACTGTTCAGTTTGGACAAGACCCAGCAGTGAATGATAAATAAGTAGAGGCAACCAGTGGCATGGCCTGTGGGCATCATGTTGGAGATTCCAGCATTAAGCTGCAGGTATTGTAACTAGATCAGACAATTTTTCAAAGTGCTTGGATAAATATTTATCACTAAGTGTAAGGCTAACTGTATACACACTAAGCAGTGAGGAAACTCCACAGAACTCTGTCGGAACAACTTCTTAGTAGACAAGTAATGGATCAGAAGAGCATTGTAAAAGTAGTATAAGAAATGAGGAAACTTACACATCAGTATATATCTCATGGCAGCATTGCGAAGAAATGGAACATTGTTAATGATATCCCAGACTCCTTTGAAGTGAGTGAGTATGTAATGGACTGTGTCAGGAGCTGGCTTTAGTGTCAGTCGCAGCCAGGTAAAAAATTCCGCTGTATGGGACATTAGAGAAAGAGATATATAAAAGTTCAACTTTTTAAGATTAGAAACATAGGAAGCGGCTTTATGCTAATTCAGACTATCGCTCCATCTAGTTCAGCACCACCAACACCAGCTTTTCTTGTTCTCTCTCTCTTTTAGCAATTCACTTGAAAATTGTCAACATTCTCTGTACATAATTGAAGAGACTTTGTTTGCTTTTTTTTGACAGATTAAAGGCATACTTAACCCATAATCCAGTGATATTTATTCCCTTCATTCTGTTGCAGCATTATCCTCAACACCGTATCTGTCAAAACTAGTGATGAACAGTGAATATTATTAGCTCTGCTTCAGATGGCTTGTCTGACCACCTCATCTGCCTCAAATAGCTTCAAACTTCATTGTCAGAAAGAGAGACATTAAGTGTGTACTGATGGTCTGTACTGATGGACAAGTGTTTTTCAGGATTTCAGAAGATTCTTTTCCAACCCTACTTGGAAATGCCAGAGATTGAATATGGCAATTACAGTTCTTTTCCTAAAATACTGATTATGCAAATATAACTTTCCAAAATACAGAAAATGAAGTACTGTGGTATCTTCAAGAATGACACTTTCATGTCTGCGTGACCTTTTGCAGATTGTATTCCATGTCTGACAAAGTGCACTGGAATTCATGAAAGTTTACAATGCAGTAAAACGGTCGGTTTTAAAAATGCCACAATACTTTGTGGTGGGTTTTTTCGTTCCTGTTTTTTTTTTTTTTACTGTATATGCTGAAATAGACTAACATTAGTATCTCTTCCCAGAATCTCCAATATACATACGTGTTGTGCAGTTTTCACCATAATATCCAGTTCGCGTGCAGTCGCATTCGTATCTGTCAAAGCCTGTTGTCATGCACACTCCTCTATTCTGACATGGATTTGAACAGCAAGGGTTAACTAGGGGGAAAAGAAAGGTGTAGTACAAAGAGTAAGCTCTGAAGTCCTATAGATACACACAGAAATTTCCTGATGGAAATTAATGAGATTATTTCTTTGAGGTTGTAGTTCATTTTTTGTTCTCTCTCTCTTTTTTTACAGTCTTATGCACAGCATTTGATAGTAAATCTCAATAAAGGTGGCAGATCTTACATTTGAGAAAACATGCATAGGATTCTTTCATATAAATTGTCTTGAGAGAGCTTTATATTAAAAGGCAAGTTTAAAGTATTTTTAAAAACAGCATTTAACAATGTATTTAATATGACAAATAGTATAATTCAAAGTACTAAAGAGATAGCCAGTATAGTGGATAGAGTTATGGACTGAGGAGACTTTGGCTCAAATCCTTCTTGGCCACAGAAATTTGCTGGTGTGTGTGGCACTGCTAAAACTACTCCTTAAATATCTCATATACTTTGAAAACTTTATTAGGGTCACTATGAGTTGGATGGGAATTGACAGCAGATAACATATAAATACTATAATTTATGCATGTTGCATGCAAAAGCAATAACATGCTTTCTTATCAAACCTAAAAGTATGGTAATATTTCAATGTTCTCAACAAAGGTTTTCTGTAAGAAGCAAGAGGCAAGCATTAGCAGATACTAGGATTTCCTCCATGTGTCCTTTTCATTTCTAACATACTTCTCAGTTTGTATGTATGTATGCATGTATTTATTTATTTATTTACAGGACCTCCTCAGTGATGGTCCCATTATCATGGAACGCTTTCCCTCTGGAAGCATGATTGGCTTGTGTTTTTTTTTAACTACTGTGTTTTAAAAGGTTCCAACAACCTCTATCTTCCCATCTCCTTAAGTCTAAACATATTCAAATATATAGACACATTTAAAAAAAAACAAGTTTAGTTTAAAGAAAGCAGACTGCTAAAATTTAATTATATTCAGCTAAAACCTATTCATACATGCAGTTTTGAAACAAGATCTCATACTTCTATGAATCAAACATAATCAAATGACTCTACATTACTGTTTCTCCTACCAAAAACCCCTAGGTACCTCCTAGGTTTAAGCTACAATCCTCTACCCCAGTGCTTGGTTGGGTATGAATGAACCCTACTGAACTCCATTGGACTTACTTCTGAGCAGACAGTGACAGAATTGCACTGTTTGCCTCAGCATCTCCCCGCGCCTTCTTCCCTCCAACCTGACCAACTCCTAAAACTCCCCTTCGCAGCCCTGCCCTGGTTTCAACAGACCGTGAGAACACCCTTTTCTAACGTCAGCGTTTTAAAGAGGTCCCGCCAGTGCTTGGAAAACGGAACGCGGCGTCTTGTCCAAAAGTTACTAAACCCAACCCACGATCCTTCAAAGTCCCCAGCCACGCGGAATCAATTTTTTCTAATAATTAAAAATCATAATTAAAAATCCTAAAGGACATTGGGAGAGGAGGGGAGCATCAACTCTTCGCGTCGAGTGCAAGGATGTTAGGCGTCCTCAGAAGCAAGTCCCGCTCGCTTCAAAGGGGCACCTTCTCTCCGGTAAGCCGCCTTGCGAGGTAAAAAATGTTTTACAATAAATACATAAAATTAAAAGGAGGAACCCATTAGCGCGGGAGAGAGAAAGGGGAAAAAAGGGAAGGGGGTTATTGGTAGATAGCACTGACCTGCTCCGCTAAGAGCCAAGAGAGAAAAAACAGCCGCACAGAGTACAAGCATTTCCCAAGTGGGTGCAGAAAACGGTGGCAGCAGCAGCTTCAGACTCCGGTCTCCTTAGAAAGCTTATTCCCGAGAAGTCTCCGCGACACTCTTGCGCCCTCAAGACCCGCAGCCCTGACGCCTCACGGAGCAGCAACTGGCTTTCGCTAACAGGTCCCCTCTGCCGGGGCAGGCCTTTATGTACCCGCCGCCGGCCTGTGACTCACGAGCCTCAAGCGCCGCCCGCTTCTTTTACGCAATCGGTTCCCGCAGGTATTTTCCAGCCGGCAAACCCCGCGCCTCGCTTCCGACCGTCTTGGAAAAATTTGGGGAGCGGGAAAAAGAGTATGTGAGGGCGAGCGGAGTTGCACGCAGGACACGCTCCCCACCCACCCACCGGCTCCGCTCGAACTTCTGGCACGTCCTGAACGCAGCGTCAGGGAATGAATGGACGCTGAGTCGTCGTCGTCGTCTTCGGAGCCTCGGCGCAGTGAAACCCTCATTACAAAAAGAAAGATAGTCTCTCTGAGGCGGGAATACGGGAGCTCCGAAGACGACGGACCCAATGAATCGGTTGCCCCGATAAGAGGGAGCACCCTCCGCTTGTACTTAGTCATTTATTTATATTTTAAAACAAATGTCTCCTTTAGCCTACTGGGTAAAGGAGACGAAGCTAGAGAGCCGGCGTGAAGTGAACGTTTGGCTTGAAATCCGGCCCTGAGCCGCCGGACTCCGGTCCCTTTCGTGCCTCGGCTTGACCCGCTTCACAGGCTTGGTAGGGAAAAGGCGGGAAGGGAGGCAGACCCTCGAAGCCCGCCTCGAGCCCTTCCAAGGAGAGGGAGGCAGCGTTGGCCTTCTATCCATAAATTATATTTTGCCCCTGCCCTCCATCATCATGTCGACGCTACAGTGCTACCTGACTACTCAGGCTTAAGCGCTAGTGAATTAAGCGGGACTTACTCCCAGGTTCACAAGTATGGGTAACGCCTGAAGGACAGTTGCCCTCACCCTCTTCCTATAACGGGAGCGAGTTGGGGCAAAAAGTGTTTAGTGGGAGGGAATTTGGCTGCCTTTGACCCGTAGGCTTTTTAAATCCTCACTTTTTCCCAGAGGAGTAGCCAAGTTACTATGGAAACAAAACCCAAAAAAGGCACCTTGTCAGCCGAAGGTCTTTCGGATGTAGGATCACTTTTGATAAACTTTTGTGGACATGCCCACCCCCAGTGTATTCATCCACTTTGGTTGCAATCCTATGCAGACTTACATGGGAAGAAACTGCATTGAACTTAGCGAGACTTCGGCGGATAAGACATAGAATTGTTCCTGCTATTCCCTTTGCTCTTGAACTCATGTAGAAAGGAGGATGAAACTGGTTACTGGTTTCTTATTTCAGGAAACACTGAAGGAATCAATCAGCTACCTGAATATGAAGCAAAATTATACCTGCTCCAGTCTAAGCTTGGGCATATCTTATAATATATATCTCTGTGGCTGGGAGACTGTCACCTTAAAAGATAAATAATAGTTCTCCCTAATAAAAACCCAAGGTGGCCCTGCATCCACTTTGTGTGATGAACTAAGCCCAGAGAAGTACAAATAAGAAACCAATGCTATACACTCCACAGCCAACAAAATTGTAAATTCACACATCCAGGAGATCTGAACCAGGAGTGTCCCCATTATTTGGCAATGAGTCTCAAGAGGGATCACAAAACAGTGGCAAGGGGGTGGGGAGAAGGTGCTGGCAGGGAAAATGAAAACAGGAGGGAGGGTTGGGAGGAAAGTTTTCTCATTAAGAAACAATCCAGGCAAGAGAAGGGAAAGCAGAAAGGCTCTGGTGCTTTGATATGAGAGAAATGAACTTGATATCTTTGTAGCTGTGTCACAGGAAGAGTCTTGACTACAACAGGCGGGGAAGCAGAAAGATGGACAAAGAGAAGAGGACTCCAGATTTTTTTAGATGTATTGGAAGTTCTGCAGCTGTGTAGCTTTTTCTTTCATGGAAACTGTTAACAATACAAGAGCATTTTCCTCTTTTCCTTGTGGAGCCATGATAGTACCTCAAGACAAAAAGGGAAAAGGGAAAAAAAGAATGTGGGTGTAATCAGACAAGCATTTAGCCTCCTGTTTGGTCTGCTGTGGGAATGGGTTGGTTTACTCCTTTTTTTTCTGGCAATTATATGACATAGTCACTGGAAGGAACCAGCCTGTCATCAAAGCGTTCATACTTTCACATTTCTGGATCTCTGTAAGGGATGTCTACTTTTTTGGTGCTGGTAGGATTGTTCTGCTTTGGTTCATTTCTAGCATGTATGATAGTTGGTAGTGAACCAAACAGCCTTTGGCTGTGAAGACTCTTTCCTGTATCAGTTTGTCATATCATGTAGTGGTGTAAGAGAGCCGCTTCAGGATATTGGCAAGTTAAACACTTCCTCTGCTCCTTTGTGGAGGGGCAGAGCAAGTACTAATTTGAAAGACACGATTAGGATAGCACAGTTCCAGTCCATTTCCTGTAACCAAACTTTCTCCTGTAAGTGGGAGGAGGCAGGTGTGGGCAATGAGGGGCTTCTCCTGCCCTTTGATTTGGCTTAAAGGTCCAGTTGAGAGTTTGCCTGCAGCCAAATCACTGTGGCTGGTACTTGGAGGTGGATTCGGCTGTGGGCAGATTCTCAGTTAGACCTTTAAGACAAGTCAAAGAAAAATGAAAAAAAAATCGCCTTCTTGCTGATGCCCTGAAGTGACTGTGTTCTTAAGCCACTTCACGATGTCAGAAATTCCCAGCAGAAGGACCAAATTAAGTATGATTTCTTGAGGTATACTATGCTGTTCAGATATGACAGTCCCACCAAAAGGCATATTGGACCTGTACCTGACCCAAGCCACCCTATTCAGGCCACACCAGAAGAGCCCAAGTAGACAAGCCCAGAGTCTACTACAATTAAGGACTTTCTTTCTAATCCAAACAGGCTCGTTAGCTCACTCTTTCTCCAGTACAGGAGGGGAAAGATGATGGAGGAGAACTGGCCTTTCCATATGTTGTCTCTTAGGGTCTCCCCATCATACACTGGCAGAGTATGAATTAGTGGTTGTTACCCTCCTTTGTGGCTGGTTGTGCAGAAGGCCAGCATAAATGGATGGAGCCAAGGTGACAGCCAGATCTTGGGTCAAAAGTCATACACATGCAGACAAGCAAACATACATACAGGAAGAGGAAACAAGCAGGAGGCATGTAGGAATAGGCTGGCTGGGGGCAACATAAGCCTCAGATGGAATACTACCCCACTTGACTGAATGAATCAACCTCCCACTCCAATCTCCTTGCTTCCATTCAGCCCTTCCCTCTTCAGCACCCAAGAAAATTGTTCCACTGACTTTGCAACACTCTTGCTTAGCTAATATGCTGCCACTGCATATTACCTAGGCATGATCCCAGTCCTATTAGGTGGTCTCCCAGCCCTACTGCCAGTAGGGCTGGGGGACCACCAGTAAGCAGGTCTTTTCCACCTTTCTAGTTGTACAAAAGAGATTATTTTAGCCAATGTGGCTTCTATGATAAGCTATGTCAGCGAAGAAGAGGAATTTTCAATAGTTATTAAAGGAGGATGTGAACATCAGAATGAATGAACTGAATCAACCCAGAACAGAACAACCAAAATAGTAAAAGTTATAACAGAAAATGATGTCAGAAACATGGGGGTATGCCCAATAGAGCTGAAAACAATTATTTCAGGAGCCATCACCTTCTTTAGATTAGATTAGGCATCCTTCAGTCTCGAGAGACTATGATATCATGCTCTGTATGGAGGACTTGGAACAGCATCTAGCGTGGCTGAGAAGGCCAATTCAAGAATGACAATCCCTTCCACACTGAAGACAAATACAATCTGTACCCCATCTAGCTCCATGATTTTGCTGCTTTTGTGACTGCCTCTTTGTCTCGGCCTGCTGGACAAGGGTCTCTTCAAATTGGAAGAGGTAATGATGCGTTGCTTGCCTCCAGGCTGAACGCTCAGACATCAAGGTTTCTCATCTGTTGAGGTCCATTTCCAAGGCCTTCAGATCCCGCTTGTAACTATCCTTGTATCGCAGCTGTGGTCTCCCTCTGAGGCAATTTCCCTGCACTAATTCTTCATACAGGAGATCTTTTGGAATCCAACCATCAGCCATTCTCACGACATGCCCAAGCCAACGTAGACGTCACTGTTTCAGTAATGTATACATGCTAAAAATTCCAGCTTGATCTAGGACTACTCTATTTGGAACTTTGTCCTGCCAGGTGATACCAAAAATCTTCTACTTAAAAACTAAAACACAGCACCTCAGGCTTAGAGATGCTGTCCAGAACAGAATAGAATGGTTCAGAAAGGTGACTTCTGAGAAAGCCAAAGCAACTAAATTCACAGTCAGTTGTACATGGGAATTGTGCAATAAACCACAAAACCTGTGCAGAGTCTGTGTTGTAGTACTGATTGTGGACAAAACTCCAAACTCCAAAATGCCAACTCTGAGTGAGCTAAAGCAGTAATCATCACACTGTACTGATTCCATGCAACACCAATATTCCAGAAAATTATCTGGAACAGGAGCTTTTCAGCTAGCTAAACTAATTAAACTCATACATAGGAATAGGTTGAAATGGCACAGAAAATAAAAGGTAGCACTTAAAAATGCATACAATGGAAGACATCTGTTTCTCATAGCATGGGCCTTACTTTACATCCAGAACTTTGCATTTCACCTTTTGTGGGTGTGGGTGTGCGCTGGAATGTAAACATAGCCTTGATTTGCAAGTCTGGTTGTTAGAGCACCTTATGTATGAGGACACTATTGTAGGAGGGAAAATGGGGTAAATGTGGGGAAAACACATTTTTCTTAATGACTCTTTTGACTCCCAAGCAGGAGAAGAATCAAGCCAGCAGCAAACTCTGTTAGAAACTAGGTTTATAGATTTTTCTTTATATTTTCTGAATGTTTGGGGGCAGACTGCATCATTTTCATTGAGCCCAAAAGTGAGAGGACAGTTTGTTTGTCTTACTCAAAATCATTTTGGGTCATTTGCATAGAATAAAATACACCTATTAATTCAGAAGTTACCACTACAGCCATTTCTCTAATGTATATTCTAGGGCAGTGGTCTCCAACCTTGGGTGACCCAGGTATTCTTGGACTGCAACTCCCAGAAGCCTTCATCTGGAAGCTGTGCTGGCCAGGGTTACTGGGAGTTGCAATCCCAGTCCTGGAGTAAACCAAGGGTGGGAACCGCTGCTCTAGAATATACATTAATGTCCACAGTAATCTGTATTGTGGAACATGTTTACTGTGAGATTTCATTGCTACATGAATCCTATCTAGCAATGTAGGGTATGAATTTTGTTTTGAAATGTGTTGAAATATGTAGC